GTAGGGGGGGGGTGAACCCCTAAATCCCCACTGTATATGGGCCTGACTGTCATATAGTAAGCGGGCTATAAGCGAATTTACGAATATAAGAATATAATTTTCTCACCGCTTTGTGTTGTTTGATATTCCTTTCTCTTGCAACGCAAAATTCTCCTTTACTTACCGCTCTCCTTACGTAGGTATAAATTCATACCATTTTCACACTTAAGACATTATAGGGCATTAGGGCATTTTCATTATTTGCCACGACATTTTTGCCAATTAAGAAACTTGTGGTTGATTCTTCACTACTAATAATTAAATAAAAATCTTTTGCCAACATAAATTGAGTGTATAAAATATAAATTGTGGTGTCGCGAAATAAATGACGTACTGAGCTGTTAAGCCCATTCTTTTACAAAAGGTCGAAGTATTATTATCTGTGTATAAGACTATAAAGATAAAATGTTAACCGAAGAAAAACTTTAAAAAAAAGTACTGACCTTCTTATGACATATTTAACCATCTAATCACGCGGAGAAGGCAATGCCGTTACCAGTGTTATGATATAGGGAGGGGCAGGCTTTAAACTCACTTTATTCCTCAAAAATGACTTGTTACGACACTGGATTTTATTATAAGTGTCTATCAGAATAATGATCGTATAAGAAAAAAAAAGTGTTTGGGTAACAAACGTGACAAACGGATGGTCAACTATATTATTATAGGACCATAGGTGCAAATAGGGGTGGCTTAGGGGGTATTAGCGCCCCCTATTTTAAAATTAGCACCCTCAAATAATGCTGTTCGTGTAGATGTATCATAAATTTCTGCTTACAAAAAAAAAAAATATAATAATTTCAAAATGCATAGCTTAAGCACCATTAGTTTTATTTTAATTAAAACTACACCTATATGTATAGGACACACTTTGCATAAAAAGATCCTTAGTATTGAATTCCAATATAAGTGTTTGCTTATCAAGTTAATCACTTGATTGATGACCTGTTAGAGCTTAGATCGTACATTATGGATAAATAACTACTCCAATCTCATCCACGTAAACGATTTAAAACACATATAAGCAGACAGGATATGAGTGCATATTACGCGAGGTGAACCGTCGGAATACGAACTGCAATATGTCAAGGGTCGCCAATAATTTTACGTAGACTGTAAAAAATTTTTCTGAAAAATTAAAATTAATATAAACAATTCAAATTTAATACTATTATAGACAAAAAAAACGGAAATAAAGATTATATATAATATATTTTGTCACCGCCGTGACATTAGAATAAAACAATAGTATAACTATGCGTTATATATATACCGCCGGCGACCGACACACAGTCACACGTAATTTTCGTTATTTTTGTATGAATTATGTGATCGTGAATTATTAAATAGTATGTAGATTTTTAAACAGAAAACCAAACAATAATATATAATAATAACCATTAAATAAAATTTCATACATATTAATTTTTAGATGTGGCGCAAATTACATAAATATATTTTTTTGGCGCAAATTACATATACGCTCGTTTAGGCATAATAGCGTTATTGAAGATCAACTAAAAAATACTAAAACGAAAAGATTTGAAAATCGTGGACCATATCAATAGTGATAAAAACAAKTGTAGAGTTTAATGTTTGATAAAATAGTATTAGGCAACAATTTTAAAATAATGAACAAATATAATATTTTATCGTTTAAATATAATATAGCTAATATATTATGTWAACATTTTTAGGTAKAATTATATAATAATTTATGCATAAATGTTAAATGATGATGAGAGTAAAATCTGATCTATAAATACTATTAATTTGGAATAACTATTGAATGACTCATTATTACATTATATTTGAGCAGTTAAACAAACATGTTTTAATTTATTTTAATAACATGCAATATCTATAATTATTATTCGTAGCTTATTTATTTATTTTACGGTACACATTGTGATAATTTCTTTGGGGGTTCATAAAATATAAAATTATATCATAGTTTATAAAAATTCCTATAGATTAGAGGTTCCCAACCCGYGGTACGCGAAAAAAATGTTTTATTACAATTTGCATTCAATATTATTTAGTTTGGTTTATAAGAATGTAGGTGGTACGCGTATTGATTATATAAGTGTCTGATGGTACTCAATGATAAAAAGGTTGAGAACCCCTTCTATAGATAATAATAATTACAGTTTTATCAGTTACCTAGCTAGCTATATTCTGCATACGTCGTTTTTACTTCCGCTTTCGCATAACATTTATTATTTATCAACATCAGAATTTTATAAGTGATATAAACAGTAAATGAGATCAATAATAATATTACAGCAATTACGTCCAAAAGATAGTATTGATACCACGTCAGATTGAAGGCGTAAGATTTTATGTGAGGTGCACTTTTATGACGATGAACATATTCTGTCCAATAAACAACCGATCTCTCTGGAGTCATGGGCCGATCTTTGAAACGATTAGAAACGATTTTGGCATTTTTTCGGTATCTAAAAAAAAAAAAGTATATACAAAACACATTAATTCACTTTACCAACAACAAACTCAAACGATAATAATTGAATGTTGTGATTGAAATAAAATCTATCTTTTGATATTGCAACTCACTTTTCATTGTTAATTAATTCATTTATAGCGTTGAACAATTTGTCTTTAGTCACAGATAAAAAGTCCATAGAAATTGCCATGCTCGCGTCCACTAAATTTTCTATGTTCCTGGGCTGATCGTAGAACACCGGAAGTCCAAGAACAGGAAGACCGGCGTCTATAGCTTCATACACACCAGATATACCTCCGTGACTGATGAATAACTTAACTTTGGGATGCACTTTAAGATAAGCATGCATTTAATAATATGTAATTGACAATTATTGCGTTATAACTAGAGCGTGGATTTCTACGTAAAAACATATTTTTAATGGATGTATGCACAACTGTCAACTACGAGAGTAAAAAATGTCAGCGCTTCATAGTACAAAAAATCTATAAATATAAAATTTTATTTTGCATATTATATAAGTGGATATTTTGATGTTAAAAGAAKATATATTTATAAGAAAATCATATTTTTGCATATTTCACTAATTAAAAATATATGTATTGAAATATTTCTAAGAATAAAATAAAATATACATTTCGATTTTCGACCACGATTTTAGATACTATCTTAAATCGTAATTTTAACCATAATAGACCTGATAATAGATATGATCTGATAGATTAAATTTCAACGGCTGCGATAAGAATAAGACGTGACCCGAATAATTGATGAATGATAATATTTTGTTACCGCGTAAATTATCACACATTTTCTTCCATCATTTAATTTTTTTGTTTTAATTTATGTTATTTTGTTTGTAAATTTAACATTAAGAATAAAGGTTAAAAATATAAAAACATAGGTAATGTTGTTTACCTATTATTTTAATAATGTTATTATTTTATTAATTTTGTTAATTATATTATTATTAATTTTTTCTATACGTTAAAATAAATAAATTGATGTAAAAATATAATATTTTTGCATATTTTACTAATACTTAAAAAAAATATTACAAGCATAATATATTAAAATTTTTAAGAGAACATAAATCCGCGCTCTAGCTAATAACATATCATAATATATTATGTATGGCCTGTATGGGTGACTAATAGGTGAATACTTACAAAGTATTTCACGTTGAGGAAACCATTTGCGTGTCATCACATTTGCCGGTTTGTTTTTCATTTCGCCTTCGTACTTCCACAAAACTCTTTGAGGAACTTGTGACAAACCGTCTCTATACGCGTTTTGAATGTGTTCCGGCAACGTTGACATCTTCACGATCGATCCAAGTGTAAAGTAAATTATTCCGTGCGGCGAATTATCGATATATTCTAAAACATCCTGTAGTTTAAACAGTTACGTATATCATCCTAATATTATATATTATTATATTAGCTCCTATTAATTTATAATATTCTTGAGGATAAGCGTCTTTTGAGCTTTRAGGACTGGCTGGTGCGGCAAATAAGGAGGTAGGGAATTTTCCTCTTTCTATAATTTTGAAAATGTCCCAAAGAACGGCGTTGTTGGTGCGAGATATATTCCTATAATATATCCTGTTGGCTGTTGAGATATTTTCAACAGACTTTCATCACTTAAATGGATAATCAATTTTTTTTCACGGGTGATTACATTTTTTTACAGTTGGATAGTTAAATCTATTAATAGATATATCTGCTTGATTGCACAAATGCACAATGCACACACTGTTTCTATTATTAATTAATTTATGTCTAGGCGCGAGCGTGGGCGTGGGCAAATCAGTCGTACAATTTTTTTTTGTTTTTAAATCAAAAAATATTGGTAGGTATAATGGAAATTTAAAAATATCGGAATTAATGCTGTGCCTATTAATAAAATATTTTTAACCAACAGGACGAGAGATTATACACTTTTAATTTATAATAACCTATATGTATAAAATAACCTATATATCTTTTCTAAGAGCAAATTAAATTGTCACCTCCTCAACCACAGCCCCCAACACAAAAAAAAAAAAAAAAATTAAAAAAAAAATAACGCTATACTGAGGTTGACATAATAATATGGAACGTCTATAACTCACCGCAGGTATAGCATCATCTTTGGGAGGTTGCAAATGAATGCCGCCTACTTGGATGACGTTCGRTGGAAACGGTCTTGGCGCCTCGGTAACGTAATGCGTATTGACAAACACGAGAGACGGTTTAACTGGTTCCACTAGGTCGAATTCACTGGGACTGTTTGTCATCATTTCAGACTCTTTACGTGTATTTAAAAACGCGCTGTACGCGAAGAATAGAGAATTCGTAAACCGTTGAAAAAACGTCCTCGGAACCGAGTGATAGGCCATTATGTGAGACACGGTCGCTGGATTCGGACCGTTTCCTATCAAGCTGTATTCAATAGTCGTTTTCAACGGCGATGGCGACGAAAATATGACCGGTACGTCCAGTTTGGCAGCCGCGTAAGTGACACATTCCGACGCAGCTCGTTCGACGATAATTAAATCGTAACCAGAAGAATCTTCGCCTGCCCCATTAATAAGTATGTCTTTCATTTTTGGATGTCCGTTGATGGCATCGCAAATGCAACGGGTCCAGTTCATGACCAACGGTATCATTACCGTGGATTTTCGAAAGTTTTCCATTATGAATTTCGAGTCGATGGCGCCATCCAACACGGGAAATTCGTTCGATATGTCAATCTCCGTGTAGTTGATTCGCTCTCCGTCAGGGAGTGGAGTGAACGCGGTAACCCGATGGCCGCTGTCCGTCAAAGCTCGGAGTATTGCACTCATGAAATTCCAATGGCTTTTACCCGTGATCGGCTCTATAGCTAGAATGTTCATGGCTGCGATTGGTGTACCGGACCACGAGACATTAATGGCAGCAATAATAAACAACACCATACAAACAGACATGGTGTTTATATTACGCGATGTTGCTTATAAACTTCGTTTATGTATATAAGCACTTGTTGAGGGTTTTTTCACTAATTCATTAACAGCAGGTGCCTGTAAATTAATCAAAAATCAAGTCAATAGTTTTGTTTTTTTTTTTTTTTTGATTTTTTTTACGATGTAATAAATGTTTATTTTGGTAACATTTGCAGAGGGAGGGGGGATTTGTTCCGAGTCCTAATCCAACGGATATAATTGATCATAAATTGTATTTAATTTTTATCTTTTATTCACCAAGCTCACCCCCGTTTTCTTCAACAAAAGAGTTGGTATTTTAAAACTGATGTTTACGTATGGATATCAAAATAAAAATTCGAACGAAACATTTTTGAATTACCCATTTAACTGTGTGACGTGTGTAGGTACAATGAATAAATATAGTAACTATTATGTCCATGATAATAATTAATAGAATTATTGGGATATATTATGAAGGCTTATGATGGAAACCTTTGTAGGTATAGTCATTTTAATGAATGAATATAAAAAAACGAAAAAAATGAAAAATGAAAAACTAGGCACTCGTTTGAATTATGAACTAGATAAGTATACCAAAATTGTGTTGAATTATCCATTAAATAGTTTAAAGTAAAATATATGAGTTATCGTGTGGATAAACAAAAGTCTATATGTCATTCCTTTAAGCAGTTCAAAAAATGTGATAAAAACAAAAATTTGGTCTTCGACAATATTTAAAAATTCAAAATATCAGAATTGGAGTACTATATTAAATAAAAAAAAAAATAAACGCAGAAGGTGGCATAATCAGTGGTGTAGTGGAGGGTACACGGGGGTACACGGCGTGTACCCACCTCCTAATTTTATAATTATGCGTGTACCTTTAACGAAAATCGTAGTACGCGGGTACACGGAACATAAATAAGATGAATTAACGTTACCCATCAAATAATATATATATTTATTAAATTTTGATATTTAACAAGTAAAAAAAGATAAGCGTAATTTGTTTATTTCACGGACTAAGAAAAGATCATAAAAGTCCATGGTTTACTTGTACCACGGCTATGGTAGTACACTAGTACTTAGTCTTAAATACCTAGTCTTAAATCGTGTTGTACAGGGTCTTTTGTACACAAATCTATTTTTAAACCATTTGGTAACGTTTACAATATTGTTGTTTTGTCCAGTTATCAGTTATTGTTCCAAGTATTCATTACAATTCTATATAAACGTTTTGTCCCTAGTACTTTTTCACATTAGTATTATTATAGTAAGTTAATAGTGGATACTTGTTCAATATGCTATCTACCCTGAGTATTTTGTCTACCATAATKTTATGTTGGTCGATGGCTTAATATGCTATTTATAAATGAAAATTGTGGTTTTGTTTACCAAATATGTTATAATCACTAGTAGAAAACATGAACGAGTACTAATTAGGGGGGTGTGGGGGGGCGTAGCCCCCCACGTTTTATTTTACAATGTTTCAGGCGTGTACCCATAAAAATTTTTAAGACTACATCACTGGKCATAATGCTTGGCTAATCACCTCTTATCATAAGCGTAGGGTAATCAAATATATTAGGAAGGGGGCTGGAAAAACAATTAATAATAATAATAACAATAAAAAAAAATACTATAAACTAAATGAAAATAAGATATTCTAGAGGGCTAAGCGCTCCACCTTAATTATCTTACGTAACCTATAAGTATAAAAGTATAATTATTAGTATACTGAACATTTCGAAATGACATGGCTAATAATAGTTGCTAAATTGTTCAGTGATTAAAAGTTAAATTGTTATAGGTACCTATTTTTGACACCTATATTGATTTAAAATATTAATCAATATATATGGCCTTTTCACTCATCAAACACCCTGTCTGGGTTTATGTAAATAATAGTAATTTAATTGAAGTTATTGTCTGTTACTTTGTCCTATATATAATTTTGTCTTTTCTATGTTAATTCTTTAGTCACTTGTGCTTATTGTTAATCATTACGTTACTGATTTTAAAATTTTACCGTTAAAAAAAAATATGTATAAAATTATAAGTTAGGTAATAGGTACCAGGTAACCTATTACACAAATAGCTAATATGTATGCCAGAATCTAGTTTAGAAACAATTATTTTAACAATAGGCATAATATAATAACATTTTTACTTACTTAGTCAACCTATAAGGCAATAATCAATACTTATTAAACAACGAACATACAGCGATGACAAACGCTCAATAATAACTAAGACATTATTATTAGAGATAATGGATTAAGTACCTACCTATACATAATAGTATGACATATGATTAAAAATATTACTTTACATCGACTTAATATATATGTGTGATACGTTTGTAATCCATTTAAAGTATTCTCATATAGATAAAAGATAAATTAAAGTCCATAAAGAGTATTTAATCTAATCATTTGTAGTGATAGTTTTAGAAATACTCAATTATAATGTTTTGATAGAAATTATTATTAAAAACGTATTACAATGTAAAATCGATTAATACACAATAATATTATGGTATGTACTTGTTATAGTTATTACTTAATTATATAATTTATGATAATTTTGTAACATATATCATCATTATAGTAATACAAATAAATATTTATTCTTCAGTAATCGAATCCAAATATTTTCAACAATAACTGAGGTCAAACATGTTTACATGTTCTATCTATCACTTAAGATTTATATAAACCTAGTCTCTGTTAAAAAATATTAATGTTTATAGCCAATAACCTTTGTTGTTGAGGCTTAATTAAAATTTTAAAAAAACCTAGTCTAGTCTTATCCACTGTTAGTTTTAATTACTTTCTGTTGTCATTTTTAATATTCTTAAATTTTATATGCAATTTAATTGCACATTTGGGCTTCGTGCCCGTAATATTGTAATGTAATAATAATAATAATTATAATTATAATTATAAATAACTATATAATTAATAAAATAACGGAAGAGATACGACAGCAGTATAACGAGTAAAGCCATAGCACCTACCCACACGTAAAAATTACTCAAATAGATAGAACTCGGCCAATAATCGGTTCACTACGAGTACGATGTTTTGCGAACAATTCGTTTTTTGAAAAAAATAATCGCATAAATCGAACCACTATTTTAACTTAATTAAACTCTATTTATAGTACGTACTATGTGGCATGATGTGTTACACTTAATCGGTACTCAATCTGTACCGATAAACCTGTTCGTAATATAACTACTTGGGCTTCTTAATCTTCATAGATATGATAAACAGTTTTCGGATCAGGGTTTGTTGACCTAGAAAAATAAGCGTTTTACTATTCGTTATATTTAAAAAAATAAAAATAAAAAAGAATTGAAACCCCTATAATACCTCTATATAGGTACTTACTTTTGAAATAATTTAACGATTTTACGGGACGGACAGTGCATATGAAGAGGGAAATCATTCATTTCGACGATGTGAAATTCGTCTGAACAGTCTGACGCGTCCGTTGGCACGTATATTATGATATATTGATAGTAACGTATACCTAATGTGTAATTATTTCACGAAAATAATTAAGTATAGGTGCCCACACACGATTTTCACGTTGTGGTAGATGCCTGCACGAAGTCGAATAACACGAGGTTCGATAGTTTTACAATATAAATATAAAAAAAAAATAATAATGTTGCCCGTTCGTACAAACTTTTCGGTTATATTATCGGACGTCGCCGTCGGTGCTTGACTGGCCGATGATGTTGACTCGCATAAAAGTGCCATTATATCTGATGGAGAGTTTACACTTTTTATATATTTTATCCTCAGTCACGTATTACTAGAGCTGTCAGCTGAGTAGAGTTAAGAGTTTTAGTATACTCGGAGGGTGTTCAAGTACCTTCAAAATCAACTTTTCCGTGACCGGTGAGAAGATTTGTTGCCCACAAATACTCTACGACGTCTTTAAAACAAATATAGTAATAAAAGAGAAAATTGAATAAAATATTATGTACATAATGTAATTTTTTTTTATCATAACGTAATTGATGCTCAATAAAACAAATTAAACAATTACAAAACACACATGTTTTTAGTTGCATTTTTTTGAAAATTTTTTAAGTATTCTATAAGTATTAAAAGCGATATAAATATATAATATATATTATTAAAAATTATTATATTTAATATATTGGTGCGGTGCTAATTTCAACTTTGAAATTTGCGAACATCACCCGCACCACCATACTAACAATTTGTCTGTCAAACCTCTGTAGCCTTCGTGATGTGCACTCCGCTCACATAAAATAATCGTTTAATACTTATGAATAATTATGATTTATGGCTTGTTATTCGTTAGAAATTCATTATATTTCTAAAACGAAATTGTAAAAATACAATATCTTGTTTCAAAGTACCCATATGGAATTAAAAATATATATTGTCATTCAAAACAATAAAAAACTTAATTTTTCAACAATGTTTGTACTTTGTTGACACCCATCGGATTCATATATATAGTATGGTTTCATAAACGTGGTTAAACTATACAACACATTTGTGTCAGTAGTTTTTATATAAACAATAACAAAAGATTTCATAAACAAGTTAATCTCATAGTATATTATTTTATTATTTACATCGTAATAGTAATAATATATAGGTAGTTACTATAATAAAAAATAAAGGTCAACGTTATTACATGTTAAACCTTTGAACAACTTCAACATGTAAAAAAAAAAAAAACTATATACAAATCAGTCCTTTAAAAAAACACGTGTAAAAAAACCACTGTCGTTAGACTACAACAAAAGTTGTCATGTTTATCAATGATGGTAACTTTAAATTAATCCTATACCTTACTCTAAACTTTGGAGAACCTAAGATAGTATTTGATAAATACAATTCAATGGTTTTGGCTTGGACATAAAACATTCATATACAACGTTTAAAATTAAAACAAAACTAAACGAATCGTATTTAAGTATCTCTCAACTCTTTTTAAAATAAGAATAGCTCATAGTATAGTATATCATATAAAAATTAAAAAGAAAACACAACGCGCAAGTCGAGAAAAAATGTAAACAATCAGACACTTCAATACGTTGTAATTTCCATATAGGTAAACGAACAAAATAAAATATCCTAATGCATAATAATATAACTATATACAGTCTACAAGTTACAACACATATACGTCGAAAACTAGCCGTTTCGGATCACATATAATTGATGGAAGTCCCGCCGCTGTTTTTGGGTTCCGCGGCAGTCCACCGCCTTTGGTCGGCCATTGTGTGGCTGTAGTGGTACTGGTGAAGGTTTTTTTGTTGTTGGTGATGTTGATGTTGTGAGTGTTGCTGATCAGAAGAGTGCTGACGAGACAAACCTCTAACGCCGTCTATGCTGTAACACGATGACGTTCGGTCCAACGACGTCGGGCTGACACTGTATGCCGTGCCTGGAGGTGCAGCGTGTTTGCCCCGCTTGATTGAATGTGTGTAGTCCTTCGTACCACGTCGTCTCAAAGTGAAATCCCTCTCACCTGTAACCTGGTATTGTTTCTTCCACTGCACCCAACAGTGTCTATATATTGGGTCCACCGGGCCCCAGTTCCGTGCCGGTTTTATGGTGCTCAGGAATTTCTGCGGAAAACAAAAACCAACCGGCCCGTCAAAAAAATCACACCACAATACGGAGTAGATTACGATTCAGCACTGACCGACCCATCGTCATTGATCGAGTGGCACACCGAGCACTTACTTGCGAAAAGTTGTAATCCACCTGAGCGGATATCTGCCACACGGCTATGCCAATAATCATCGACCACATGAACAGATAAACGATCCAACCGATCACGTACAGCCACATGGAATCGTGAGAGCTGTAATCGGACTCGGTAAGTGGCATCACAAACAGACTCCAAAACTCAAACACCTGCAGTAATGGAATTATTCATTAAACATATAATTATTTGTGCTCACAAATTTTATAAAACGGGCAACCGTAAAAAAACATATAAGTTTTAAAATATTCATTATTGGTTTCAAATTTTTAAGTGTTTTAAATAGTTGACAGTAAATAGTCGTTTTTCGAAAATATTTTATAACATTAGGTGAAATATTATATGGACATATGGATTCCGTGGTACGTACCATAAACAAAATCGGAGTGCCCAGCCACACAAATTTCCACACGAAGCAAAGTTTGTATCCGAGTACAAACTCGAAGTCGTTGGATAGCGATTCCAGCCCGTAGATCCAGACGAAAGCAATTACTTCTAGCACCGTGGATGTGACCACCATGCGACCAATGATGTACTCGTCCAACAAATGCACGGCTTGAAGGTTTTCCTAAAATTCAAAACGGTGTCGATAAAATCAATAATATTGTTGTGAGGCACTCTCGTCATATATACTCACGGGCAAAAGGCACAGGACACCAACCAAGAAGGCAATAAAAGAAACCATGCAAGTCAATATCCACCACTTCCATTTTTCTTTGGTCTCCACGGATAGCCCTACGATGGCAGTATAAATAGCCGCTATCTGCGAAACGAGAAAAAAAAGGCAAGTTTATTTTTATTATTTTGATTTTGATTTTAAATTGATCGTGTTTTTAAAATTATTTATGTAAACAATTTGTTAAATTTTTATTTTCGACATTCATTAAAATAATATGTCCATACTCGTGAAATATAATATGACATTGTTATGTTATTTTTTTCAAATATTCAATGTCTTTATAATTATCTTTATGGTGTAATAAAAATAAAATGCAAGATTATTAGCACTATAATATTTTGCTAGGTATGTACTGTCGATCAATACAATGTCAAATGTTCGGTAATTCTTTTTCGTGATTCACTGTCTAAACCAGTGGCGCACACAGGATTTTTTT